CCCCCCCAAGTTTATGTTTTTATATGTGGTCAAATTCATACAAAGTATCTAAAAATGTATATATCTCAATGTGGCTGAGAAAGTGGAAATACAATGATGTAGCCTGCAGCTGCTGTCCTTTAGGTTTGAAAGTGCCAAGGGCCCGGCTGTCACCCCGACCTATTGATCTAACCAGGAGTTTCAATGTCATGCTGGCCCACCCTGCTGCATATTTAATCCAGGTCAGTGTTGCAGAGTATTGAAGCGAGTGACAGCCAGGCACTTGGCATTTCCACACAGAAGTCACTACAGGTTTGCTTTTGATAAGCCTTGTTTTTCTTTAAGCTTGATTTTCCTCCACGGCATGTGCGATGTGGACAGACACATGTGATATGCATTGTGCCCCTCTTTTTGTTAACCTTGGCATGCAGTTTGCACCTCCTGCCAGTATGTATGTGTGGATATGTGCACTGTGTAGGCGCTCGTGGACCGTCACATAACGTCTCTTGTATCAAAACAATTGACTGCAAAAGCATTGGGTGGATTTTATGGTCCTTAAAGTAAAACTGAGGCCACAATTTTTTTCTTTTTATTTTAATCTTTGGATAGAGTAAGGGAGGATTATAACCCCTGTCGGCCTTTTTTGCCATCTGTGTCCCTTTTTGGGGAGATTTCCCTTCACTTCCTGTCTAAGAGCCACAACAGGAAATGAGAGGAAATCATTTTGTTGTTTACATTTTCCTACACGTAGATCCAGTTCCATGATCTTTAGGTCATGGCAGCGGTGAGAGGTCGCAGTGAACGTGGGCTTGGCATGACTATGTTGGTTTTGTTTCTGCCCGGGTTATGTTGACATTAGCCAGATGCCACTTCAGTGCTTGACACAGATTAAAGAACAGCCCCAGGCAAAGGAAGTCTTCAAGGTTATCTAAAGGCCTCCTGGGATTTTTATCCCAGGCGGTCAGTCCTTGGCTGCTTCACCGTTTCCCTTCTGAAGACCCCATTTTTATTTATTTAGGACTCTAACCTTCATTTTCCTATTAACGTCTGAACTCTTCCTGCCCGACACTTCGCCAACAAATACCAGCGTGTGTCATGTGACAATTCCAGATATAACTTGTGTCTATAACTGCTCTTTCTTTTCACCCCCTAGCAGCCAGATAGGGCACTTGCACTGCCAGCCTCGTGCAAAATCTCAGCATGTGTGCAGCGGGTGATAGCAAGTTTATGGACCGGTCCATCCAAAGGTGATACTTCAGATTTTTGTAGAGGTTGCAGAGTTAAACCATTTAGTGTATTCAAAAACTGGCACGCAAAGGTGATCATCCGGCTATATATAAACTTTATTTCCATATGCTGTAAAGACAGCATACAAAAGATAGTTGACGCGTTTCAGCCTTTCCCACAGGCCATCATTTGGTTATGGCTAAGGCCTGTTGGAAGGGCTGAAATGAGTTTTCTATGCGTTTTTTTTACGCCATATGGAAATAAAGGTTTTTTTTTCTCTCAGAATAATATTTCTTACATTTGAAAACAGTACAGCAAGAACCAACAATATGAACATATGTAAATAAGGTTTTTATGGGGATGATCACCTTTTGTGTGCTGGTTTTTGAATATATGAAGTCGTTTGGGAACAGCAGAGACTTTCACCTGAGCACCGTGGTTCCAAACAGCAGATTTGGTTCAGAGGAGGTAGAGCGGCTTTCTCTTCATGTGGTTTCTTGACCTCGCCATAGATCTGTCATTTTTTTTTTTTTATCGTTCACCCCTGTGGGGTAACAAGAAAAAGCATGGACAGCATGGATGGGGCGATCCCCCGACCAGGGCATTGTATTCTGACAGCAGTGGGTGCCAACTGATTGGTAGCAGTCACTGCTCCTTTGGCAAACATTGATTGAAGAGGTGCCAACAGGGCCACACATTGCTCAGGTTTTGGGCAAGTCATCAGGACTCGACTGATATGCGTACAGTGTATGGCCCTATACAACGAAGGTTAATTGAAGAGGTGCCAACAGGGCCACACATTGCTCAGATTGCGGCCAAGTCATCAGGACTCCACTGATTTGCGTGCAGTGTATGGCCCTATACAACGAAAGTTAAAGGAGAACTATGAGGTGAGTGAAAATCACTCAGCCTCATAGTTCTAGCCGACCTGTGACAATGAGACTGTCACACGTCGGCTCAATAGATCGGGAAGTGAGTGAACACATACCGGCGTTAGCTCATTTCTCGATTATCTCCCCGCAGAGAGCCATGATTGTCACTCACGGCTCCCTGCAGGGATTCCTCCCCTGTCCGATCCTCCAGCGCTGACTGGAGGAACGGACGGGGGAGGGGGCGGGTACAGCTGGCTCTGCCTCTAGATAGGCAGAGCCAGCTGTCATCCACGCAGCTGGGTGAATCTCGACAGCATTGTCGGGATCCGTCCAGACTGCGGCGTTCTCAGTATAACGCGAACTGTAGCTCGCGATATACTGAGCTGTGAGTGACGGGAGGACGCTAGTTGGATGGATCCAGACAGTAATATCAGGATCCGTCCCGGCTGCGGCCTCTCAGTATACCGAGAGCTGTAGCTCGCGGTATACTGAGCTTTGGGTGACTGGAGGACGCTAGTTTGTGTTGCCAACAGGGCCACACATTGCTCAGATTGCGGCCAAGTCATCAGGACTCGACTGATATGTGTGCAGTGTATGGCCCTATACAACGAAAGTTAATTGAAGAGGTGCCAACAGGGCCGTACTGCTCGAATTTCATCCAAGTTGGCAAGACTTGACCGATATGCGTGCAGTATTTAGCCCTGTTGGCACCCCTCCATGCAATGAGCGTCAGTTGAAGGGGTGCCAGCAGGGCCACACACGGCTTGAATTTCGTCCATGTCAGCAGGACTCGGCCAATATGTGTGCAATGTATGGCTCTGTTGGCACCCCTCAATTCAAAAGAAGTCAATTGGAGAGGTACCAACATGGCCACACATTGCCTGAATGACATCTAAGTCAGCAGGATTCGGCCGATATGAATGCAGTGTATGGCCTGCTTTATGTCTGCACATCTGATGCGGCAGCTACAATAAGATCCCACTCTCCCTGCTGGATATTTAATTTATTTTATTGTATGGATGAGATTGCAGGAGGAATGGGAAGTTGTGAGATTACTATGTAGACTAAGGATAGGCAACCTTGGCACTCCATCTG